ATTTATGGTGACTGAGGATCAGATTCGTAATTTTTTTTCTGGTCTAACCATAGATCAAATTCTGCTGTTAAAACACCCGGATGGACGATTGAACGGAATGGGCTTTGTTAGATTTGCAACAAGGCAGGATGTAGGTCAGGCCTTAAGGAGGGATGGGCAATACATTGGAACAAGGTACATTGATGTTAGGAGAACATATTCCCATGACTGGTTTAATGCTGTGGCGAAAATGCGAATGCTTGGATTCATGTCTGAGGACGTCGACAGAACGAGGAGCAACAAAACTGACCACCTTCAAATGTGGAGATCACCTGGTTTCAGCCGGACAAATCCACAACGCGATAGGTCACGGTCACCTGTGGCCCAGAGGAATAACTCTCCATCTATCGGTAATAAAGAATACTGTGTGATGTTGGAGAATCTGTCTTTTTCAGCAGAAGTGGAACATGTAAAACTGCTTTTTCCTGACGCAAAACTCAAAAATGACCAGATCCTGTTCTTAACAGACAAGTATGGACAAAGAACTAGATCTGCATTAGTACTCTTCAGGAGCCGCCAAGACTTTAGCGAAGCCTTCAGTCCTGAGAGAAAACAGTTATGGCATCAAAGCATATCTGCACGTCCCATCTCAAAAGATGACATGGTCAAGCTTATGGGTTCTCAAAATGAGAACGTCAGACCTTCTGGAAATTTGGAAAGGTCTGAATACCAGGAAGGACCTTCTTCTTACCCCAGGAACTCATATGACACCGAGAGATCATGTGTGTTCGTGAGGTACCTCCCATTTGATGTGAGGAAAGTCGAGATCCTCAGCTTTTTCCGTGGGTTTAATGTCACAGAGGACAAAGTTCATGTTCTGCATGACCACAGTGGTGCAAAGGTTGGACAGGCTTTGGTTGTTTTTGGGTCTGAGGCAGAGGCTATGGAGACACTCCGTCTCAATGGACGTCAGTTTCTTGGTTGTGAAGTGATGATGAATTGTATCACACGTTCTCAGATGAAACAGTTGGTTGATGAGACACTTAAGGGGAGTGAACCAATGCCAAGAGAGGAGCAGTACTCAGGGAGGAGCAGCGAGGCGTCTTTTCCACCTGATAACTCTTCTTACCCTGATGCAAGCATTGCTCGAGATGGTAATATGCCAATGGCTAATACGGGGGATCGCTTCCATGGAGGTTCCAACAATGAACCTCGTGCAGTGAGTTCCCATTCTCCACGATACAAGGGCAATGGTGCTGATGACCATTTTGGTCCTCCAGCGCAACATTTGGATAGTCCTACCTGTGTGCAGATGATTAACTTGCCATTCACAATCAAATGTGAAGAAATCTATGATTTCTGCCATGGATACCACGTCATACCTGGATCTGTCTCACTTGAGTATGAACGAGGCGGAGCACCCAAAGGTTCTGCTACTTTGTTATTTGAATCCTATCAGGAGGCTTTAAGTGCAGCTCAGGAACTAAGTGGAAGACCAATAGGTTTGAGAAAAGTCCAGCTGTTCCTTGCTTGAAGGATAAATTTCCTTTCATTGATTTGCCAAGTCGTACCGCTTTAGGGTGTACGTGTACTTATGAATGAAACAAAAATGGTGTAACTACATCTAGTCAGTGTTTAGAGTAGGGATTTATGGTTCTTGTTTTTTATCTTGTTTCATTTAACTTTTTTCCCCTTTATGCGATTTTTATTTCCGTAGAGCATTGTGGTAGGCAAAGTAAATCTACTTTTTATTTGTACATGTAACTTTGTATTGTGACGTGTTGAAGGTCACGGGGTTCCCCCATCCTCTAAAAAGGTCTGCAATCGTCCCTTTGTAAAACATCAAGCGTATTCAGACGTCAGGTCCATACGGAGTTGTCGGAAATGACCGTCTGCTCCAGAGCTGCTGCTGCGCCTCAGCTTCGGCATGGGGCAATGTTGGTCCAACCGAGCTGCTAGCATGTGCTCAGACGTCCTGAAACAAGGGTCTGAGGAGAAGAGGAAGCCAATAACCCGTAACGTTAATGGGTTTACCAGACCCATCACTAATAAAATAGATATCTGGATTAGTTTTCATGGTTCTGAGCATTATTTTTGTTGAACAAATTGATTCCAGTGAAGCTCGGAGTGTTGCTGCTGTCGACAGAATCACATGATGTGGAGACACAGCTGGTGCCAACGATGGGGAGAGAAAACATTCATGTTAAAATAAAAAGTTTTAAAACCAACAAGCAAAGTAATAAAGAGACACAGGCCAACTGTGAAATAATACATATGTGTGAAGATCTCTCATTTATATGACAGAAAAAGAGAAAAACAAAGTGGTTGTTTTGATGTCCCATCAACAACTCTTCATAAAATATGAAGTCAACTTTAATCAAAAGATGAAGAAGCCAGAATTGGATCACATTCTCCAGTTTGAAAGATTTTATTTAGCACATTTTCCAGATATATTGAAAATAATACTGAAATGCAGGTCTGCACTAAATGTAAACAAAACACTCGCAGAGTCCGCTGAACCCAATCTGTGTACATAAACTAATATGAATAGGTAATTTAACATTTACCCTATTTTCATTCACTTCGACTATTTTCGTAGTTAAACAAATGCATGTAGCAGCTGGCAGCCAGACACACATTTTAATTTAAGGATGCATATGCCATATTTCATCGCAGTCTCCTGGGTTACTTAGATAATTTTAACTAATTGGCTTTTTATGTACATGGATGTTTTTTGCTGCGCCACGCCCAGTTCAGTAGAGGTCTGTATGCAACCCCCAAATTTTCCACAAATAAGATCCTTACACGTTTGCTAACCACAGACAAATATTCGTAGACGCCTCATTATGTGCTTGAGCGCATCCTGCGTCGCCGCCATATTGGATGGGCGTCCTCTTTAAGAGCCAACGGGGGTAAACTCGAAGCGAGCAGGTACGCTGGTCTTTTTACTGATTATTGATGTTATTGATTGATTTACTGTTTTATACTTTCAAGAAGCACCTAGTAATTTGTGGTGCACTATTCATTTCTATTACATAAAACAACAAATCATGACTTAATGATGAAAATGTGTTTTGAATCTTGCTGTACAGTGGCTGAGTGGACACGAATTGTATGCTTGGTAGTAGGAGTTGGAAAAAAACACTTTTTAAAATGGGCCTTTAGAATTGATTCATAATCGCCAGAACTAGGAATATATATCCTTTAATGAATCAATCTTTTTTTCTGCACCCCCACCCCCAGTAACCAGTATAAATCTATTTGATTTTTGTCCCTGTACATGACAGTGCAGAGAAGCAACAACCACTTGTTCTCCATGTTAGAATAAATTGTTTTGATTTCTCAAGTAGATCAATTTACTTTTTAAGACCATGTGAAAACTGTTCAAGCGAACTTTCTGTGTTGTACAATTTATGAAATAAAATTTTAAAAACTTGCTTGACTTCACTTGTCTTTTTTTTTTTTTTCTTCACCAGTCTATCGTCATGGTACAACATAGATTTCTGCATGGGCAAAATGAGTTTGAGCTTGTTGAATAAATGTTTTTGTTTTTTTTTTTTATCTAGGTGTTTACACTAGCTGAGACTGACCCCCTATAGTTCAGAACTAATTTGTTGTATAAAAAAAATCAAGGTAGTTTTCTATTTTAATGTCTAGCTGTGTGTATTCAGTTTGTATCTGATGCCATAAATTAAAATGCTTTTAGAGTTGAACTCAAAATCAGATGACACCTAAAATGTTTAAGAGCTAGTTATCAAATGTTTTGGGCCTGGTGTTCATTTTTATTCCTTAAAATGTATATACTCAAAATAAGATTTAACATTCGGCTTCCTTAGACTTTGAAAATTGCAAACCTCATACTTTTTAATCTGTTCATTTATCAATATTAAAAATCCCTACGTGTATTTTTAATGATGCAAGGAATGCTGGACCAAGTGTTTTTAGCTACTGCCTCAACTGGTAATTTGAATGAAAAGTAAAACGGATTGCAGAGTTTATGTGAATCTGCATAGCTGTGTGATTACTATAAATATTTTACATCTGGTTTCAGATTTACAATCAGAACTGGTGAAATTGGATTTACTTTTTTTGTCTACTAAATTTGAAAGCGCCCCCGTAATCTTAAAATCGCTTCATCTACGTCAAGTTGCATGGTCCTAGCTTATTTAAATACAGCCGTTACTTCCGGTTTTATTTTGAAAGCCAGAGCGGAAGTTGTCATTTCTCAATAAGCGTACTTGACGCCGGTGAGGAGACGAGGCTGAAAATCACGCTGGGAAAGATTCATAGAACAAGAGGTAAATATTTAACCATAATGTAACTTGATGTGATGTACAATTACAGTTTGATGCGGCAGAGTTCTTCCCGTAATGAATTATTTTGATTAAAAGTTTATGAAATTGTTTCGCAGAGTTTTAACCCTCAATATTAGCTAACGACGAGTCGTTTACGATCCTGTTTTTTTAAGAATATGAAGCTAACCGTACATTTTTATGTAGTTCCGACTCTAACCGAAATTAACAGAAACCCCACAAACGTTGAACCCAACTGCTGAAGGCAAAGCTGGCTGCTTTGTGTCCGTGGAAAAACACTAAAAAGTTGCATCTGTTTCCTAAAGTTGTTCCCCACATGCAGCTTCTGTGAGAGTTTATCAAAGATGTTAATTTGTAGAGTATGGAAAACTGCTGCGTTATCTTACATCTTTTGTGCTACATGATTTAACTTCAACTTTATTTAATAGTTTTTATGCTTTTACAAAAAAAAAAAAAAAACAACTAAATTTAGGTTTATTATGAGTGACTTTCTTACTATCTTTTATTTATTGTGCAAATATATGACTTGGAAATGTAAAAAAAATTCAAATACTATATATTTTTAAATATTTCAATCAATTCTATAGGCTCAAATATTCATTTGGCCTACTACTAAAATATGGTCAGGACACTCCCCTTTGGAAGGACTTAAAATACTGAAGCATTAATTGGTTTTATGTAAAGTCTTGTTAAACACAGATTTATTCTATATAGATATTTCAACCTTGTCGATTTCCTCCAGAATGGAGGTTTCCACGAAGAGAATCTTCTTAAAACATCTGGAGCGAGCGAGGCCCCTGCGCCGCTGCACCCAAGTCAGTGGTGAGTACATGAAGCACATGTAAAGGTGTCCGCTCCACACACACAGTGTTCATGTATACTGGAGCGTTCCCATGTGAACGACATGTTTTCATTTAGAGCCACAAATAAACGCTGCTTCATGTGCGCAGACCCTGCTGGAACAGGAGGTAAGACATCCTTAACGTGTCGCCACAAATATTTAATTTAGCAACAAAGTTGTTTAGACATTTTGTCAGCAGATATGGAAAAGGTTGCATACTTTTACAAATCTGAGCGTTTAAATGAATTACCCTTTTGGGGACATTTTTAATACGGTGAACGTTTCATGAAACGTCTAAAACTTTGCGCTCGACAGACAAACATGGACATGGAGCAGTTCTACAAGACTGTCAGCCTTAACCAGCTGAACAAAGGTAAAACACTAAATGGCACATGGCAACTATTTACAGTATGTTTCAATAAATGCTAGTTTGTTTTTGACTTTTAAATCTTACTTTTATTTAATTTATAGACAGAATATCTTACTCAAGGGACTTTTTAATCGGTCTGGCCAGCTGCCCTGAGGCCAAGAAGAAGCCACTATACTTACCAGTGCATCCCATAGTGTTACCCGAGGCAGTAAGTTGTGTGATGAAGTTCAGTTTTTATTGTAGAACGATTGACTGTAAATAAAAATAAAAGCTGTGCTGAATGTACTCTTAATGCTGTATATATTTTCAACAGAGAGATCCTGGGCAGCAAGAGCTTGGACTCGTGAGGTGGAGCAGTGGAAATGGAGATGTGTGAGTTTGGTGTTATTAAATAAAACTCAGTGTGACTCCTTTCAAACCAGCGTAACTTAGAAAACAATTAGACAATCCAAAATGAATCAAGTGCAGAGCGGTGAACTCGGATTTTATTTGGACTGGTGAAGATATCGAACAAGGTTAAGTCAGGTCCTCAGGAAGGATTCTTGAAATGTTTTGTCTTTTCTCTAAAAGACTTCTTCAAGTCTGAGGAGCTGCAGCAAACTCAGTTGTTGTAAACAGCACCTTCGCATAGTGGGTCAACCAGTTTGTTGCCGATAGCCAGAACAGGCTATTCACATGTAAAAGGAGGACCATTAGCCTAACCATGGCTCATTAAAGCCCTAAGTATTGGTCGTCAGTGTGCTGATGGCTGCTTGATATTCAAAGTTCACTCAAACATTCATTCAAACAGTCCACTTTGCAATGAAAAGTTGCTTTTTTTCCTAACCCCAAAATTTCCAAAAACTTTACTTTATTCCTGAGACTATTTATATAATGATGTCAAAATTGTGTCCGAAGCATAAAAAAATTATATATTTATTAAGAAGTTCTATATTTTGACTGCTATTATGGATTTAAACCGATGCCAGAGGTGTTACTCTTCAATACCAGCATCCTTACGAAGTCACTGCTCACTTACAACGTGTCTTGGTTCTATGGAGCCTCCGGTACAAATAAAATTTGAGGTTGTAAGTTCCCTCAGGTTATTAAATCGTACATGGATTTAAAATTTGCCTCCTCGCTTATTCTGTGAGGAAGTACCTGCTACCAGTTGCCATTCGTTTAGAGAGCAAACTGTACATTTCAGGTTTGGTGTATTTGTCATATTTTTCATTCAACCTTTATTTAGACAGGTAAATCTCATTGAGCCTCGTGGACTCATTTACAAGTGAGACCTGATTTCAACAAAGAATGATGACAACAACGTACAACAGCAACAACAATAAACAGTTATAAAAAGTCCTACTCCATTTTTTTTTTTTTTTTTTTACAAATAGGATGGCTAAAAAAAGTAAAAAAAAAAATACAGCTAGATTCTAAGGCGAATGTAGAAAACTAAAAAAAGGAACATGTCTGCATTGGTCCCTGCCAGGAGTCCAACAGATTCTTAAAGCCACTTAGAGAGGTCAAGGTCGAGAGCTTGAAAACTTTTTGTAAGATATTCCAGGAAACGGGAGCAGAGTAGGAGAAGGCCCTTTCGCCTAGTTCAGTCCTCACTGAGGGAACACTGCAGGTAATAATGTCCTGAGGGTGCACGCTGTAGCTGCACTCACGCAGAGACATGTAGGAGGAGATGTATGAAGGCAGCAGACCAAGAAGTGATTTTAAAAGGAAAATGTACCAGTGGGAGAGTCTGCGTGAAGTTAATGATGTCCAGTTAACCAGTGAATACAGGGTGCAGTGGTGGGTACGATAATCACAGTCAGTTATGAATCTTAGTGCACCATGATAGACAGCATCCAACATCTGCAGGGTTCTTGTAGGGGTGTTCATGTAAATAATGTCACCTTAATCAATGGAGGGAAGGAAGTCACAGATACAAGGCGTATATGCAAATCAACACAAAGTCAACAATGCAATGAAATACTGAGGGTAAAAAGAACCGTATCGAATCGCCAAAAAAAAAAAAAAAACAACAGCAGGAAGCGATACCAAAGCATGCAGCAAAAATACTAAAACAATGTGCCAAAAGTGAAAAAGAAATACATCTACAGTGTGGTTCAGTTAGCAGTGAGGTTCTTTCAGCAGCATGGTTCTGTTAGCGGCGTGGTCTTGTTAGCAGGTCCTGTTAGCAGCTTGATGATGATAATGATTGTAGCAGCTGCCCTCCAGAACCGGGTCTGGCAGACAGAGAACATCCAAGGTTTCCCTGCAGAACCGAATGGGTCCATACATCTTTGTTTGGCTTCAGTAATAAATTAAATGTTTGTTTTTTTTTTAATTTCCAGAATCACAAACATCTAAAGTCTGTCAACTGCAGCAAAACAGATAATATGAAATAGAATCGTTTTAGTCAAAATAATCATACTCCTGAGCTGAACAAGTGTTTAGGAACCGTCAATAAAGTGACACAAAGATGGAAATTTTCAAGAAATGTTACAAATGTGCATATTTTAAATTGAAATTATGTAATTACATTAAAACGAGACATAAATGATAAATATTTGATGTGATTTGGGTGAAAACGAAGACGTCAATGTTTTTTTTTAATTGAGTTTTTAAATATAGACTGATTTTGCCATTTAAAGACGGTTCCGAAACACTTCTGGTGTTACATTTTCGTTTGTTTCCACGTCCACACTGAAAACAAAACAAAACGCCTTATTGCGAATCAGTGAGTACGGTTTACTAAACTGAGGAAACGGATTCTTACAACTGCAGATTTATTTCCTTCCATAACCCTTGTGGGACTTCATCTATCTTCTAATTGAAACAATAAAAAAACTTTTTAGTATTACATGTAGTGCAAGGAAGTGATGTGTAAATATTACGAGGATCTGATCTTGTAAGTATTCTGACATGAATTATTAAAACTACCAGATTGTTCCAAGATCAACCCGACTTCATAATCCAGATCTATAGTTTTCTAGATCTTTGTCACATAAAAACTGTTTTCACAAAATTTGTGATTCACCTCAGATCGGAAGGAGCTTGTTGAGGCTTTGTAACAACAATCAAGATGCTTTCACAAAAAAGAACTGGGTGGTTTTTTTTTTGTTGGTTTTTTTTTTGTGGTAACTTAGAAGAAAATGTGTTAAACTGTAAAAATATATATATTTATTGTGGTGTTTTGACAATGCTGTAACAAACTTTATCCACTTTCTTTTCACAGGGGGGCAACAGGACTCTACTCACAATGAGAAACTTGCACATGACGGTTTTCTACAAGGACTGTTTTTGATTGTGTTTGCTTTTATTTTTGTAATTTCATTTAACTGTCTTTTTTTTTTTTGCATGTCTTTAATAATACTTGACTTTAATGTTTGGCTTGGCTTTTATTTTTGCTGTGTTTAAAAAAAAAATGATAGCATGTTCTGTAAAATTATGCTCTGAGCAGGAAGTGAGTGTTTTCTCAGGAGTCGAATTCGCCCGCAGGGTAGATGAACACTGGACGTAACACTGGTTGAGCAGATGCTTTTTTTTTTCTTTTCATTCAAACTTTATATAGTCATGAGGACTCATTTTCAAGAGAGACCTGTATGTTGATAGGAATATAAATGACTAATGGTGTTGCTGTGTGTGTGTACTGTTTACAGATGTTTGCAAATGCAATCACAATAAAAAGATGACAGCACCTTTAGTTGTGCAGGATTTAGCATTACCCCAAAGGGTGAAGGTGGAGCAGTATTAATTTTTTTCACAGGTTTTGCCTGTGTGTGTGTGTGTGTATTATTTTTTTTACTGTTAGCGCAATATCTCATGAATCATTGAACAGATTTGAATGAATCATCTCAATCGTTGGGTTGGCAACTCTCAACTCCATTTAAGATGGCCGCCTTCAGAAGCAATCATAGCTTACACACAAAGAGCTAAAACCCCGCAAGTTAAGTATTTTAAAGCACTCGGTGCAGGGGACCCCCCCTTCAGGGAACAACTTAGGACCTAGGTCCAGACGAGCTCAGTCCTGGCTGCAGACCCCTCAAGCTCCCGGGCCTCTGGTAGAACCGGAATTGAAATGGAAGTGGAACCACTCGTGGAAAAAACAGTTCAAGGTGTGGTGTTTAGTGTGATTTTTAGTTTCTAAACGCATGGTGTCACAAAAAAAAGTGTAAAATTCTGATTCAATATCAATAAAATGTTAGCCAATAAATCTGTGACATTTAGGTAATAAAATTTCCATATCAGCTGTTTTGTTTGTTGAATCTTGTTTGGGGAAAAATAGAAAACCTTGTCAGAGGAACGTGAATAGTAAAATGTTTTTTTCATAAGTAAAAAAACATCTTTTAGTTTTATTTGTAATCTGAAAATATGATTGATCTTTATGTCCATCCTTTAAAATTCAATTCAGTTTATTTCTATAGCGCCGTCACAACACAAGTCGTCTCAGGGCACTGAAACATTCACATATAAAATTATAATTTAATTATCTGAGGAGCAGACTGCTTTGAATTTAACTCCATTGCAGACTCTCATCTTGAGCAAACATGAAGGCGACAGTGGAAAGGAAAAACTCCCTCATGAGGAAGAAACCTTTGGCAGAACCAGGCTCAGAACAAGTGACCATCTGCTTCAACCAGCTGGGTTTGAGAGGAACAGATACACAATGGCAGGTCAAGAATCACAGGCTGGCATCAAATGAAAACTATTCAATTTTAACAATTCATTTAAGGAAGTTGGGTCAATTTGTCCTCTAGTCTAAGCTTAAGAAAGCATGACAAGACGACCTTAATTATCAAAAAGGAACATCTTAAGCCCAGTCTTAAAACTGGACAATGTGTCAGTCTCACAGCTGCTTTTGGAAACACTAGATATCCGAGATATCCTGCAGTCTGAGAGTGAAGTGCACTGTTAGGAAAATATGGAACATGATCTCGAATATAAGATGGAGCTAGGTTGTTGAGAGCTTTGTAGGTTAGAAGTAAGATTTTGAATTCAATTCTGGATTTGACAGGGAGCCAATGCAGAGAAGCTAAATCTGGAGAGAGATGATTTCTCCTACTAACAAGTATTTAGACACCCAGATAACAAACCATTACAATAGTCCAGTCTAGATGTGACAAATGCATGAAACAGTTTTTCTGCATCATTTTTAGATAATATGTTTCTAATTTTAGTGATATTACGCAGGTGGAAGAAGGTTCTAGTACCATTTTTTATGTGGGGGCTAAAAGACATGTCTTGATCAAAGTAACACCAAGATTTTTAACATTAGAGCTGGAGGACAGATAAATGCCATACAAGGAGGGCGAAAGACTGAAAAAATTATTCCTAAGGTGCTCAGGTCCAAAAACTAAAACCTCAGTTTTGTCTGTTCAAAAGCAGAAAATTTAGGGTCATCCAGGTTTTTAATGTCTTTAAAACATGCTTGTAGTCTTAAGTAGCTAATTGGATTTGTTTGGTTTCTTGGACAAATATAACTGTATCATCAGTATAACAATTAAATTTTATCCCTTGCTGTTTAAAACATTACCTAATGGGAGCATATACAAGGTAAAGCGTATTGGTCCAAGCACTGAACCTTGAGGAACTTCATGACTAATTTTAGTGTATGATGAAGATTCATTATTTACATTTACAAATTGGAATCTATCATTTAAACCAATTTAGAGCCATTCTTGTAATTCCAATATCATATTCAAGTCTCTGTAATAGAATATTATGATCAAATGTACAAACCGGAGTCCAAAAAAGTTGGGACACTATGTTCAGGTTCTAGAACAGCATATGCTCCCATCTAGACGTCATCTCTTTCAGGGAAGACCCTGCATTTTTCAACACGATAATGCCAGACCACATTATGCAGCAATCATAACATCATGGCTACGTAGGAGAAGGATCCGGGTACTGAAATGGCCAGCCTGCAGTCCAGATCTTTCACCTATAGAGAACATTTGACTCATCATAACGAGGAAGGTGCGACAAAGAAGACCCAAGACGATTGAACAGTTAGAGGCCTGTATTAGACATGAATGGGAGAGCATTCCTATTTCTAAACTTGAGAAACTGGTCTCCTCTGTCGATGCCACACAGTGGTAAAAATGGACTTGTCCCAACTTTTTTGGGATTTGTTGAGACCATGAAATTTGGAAACAACAGATTTTTCCCTTAAAATTATACATTCTCTCTGTTTAAACTTTTGATCTGTGATTTGTGTTTTATTCTGAATAAAATATTAGATGTTGGCACCTCCACATCATTGCATTCAGTTTTTATTCACAATTTGTTTAGTGTCCCAACTTTCTTGGAATCCGATTTGTATCAATTTAAAAGAAATAATTTAAGTGGTCATAAAAGTTGATAGATTTCTATATAGTTTTATTTTCCCTCATGTTTGAGGGATTTTTTGTTACTAAAATGAGCAAATACTATTAAACTAAAAACTAACTAAACTAAAAAAAATACATTTTACTCAACCGAATGTCTTTTAAAAATATATGCTGATGTTGATTCGTTATTTTCTGAAGTTATTTGTAAATAAATTATGAGTAAAATGAAATAACAGTAATCGTGAGATCTCAGTGGGAGTTTCACTTAGCGGAAACCAGAGGTGACTGCACATCTGCAGCTGGTCACCTCTGTACGTGACAAACCGAGGCTGTTTCAGCCAATCAGAGAACGACTTGGCTCGTTACGTTGCGTGACGTCACCGCGGCTTTACGTTTCGTGCCGCTGCCCTCAGATGTCGAAATTAAATTGTCCGGAACAGAGGAAACGGCGAAGACAGACCTACGAAGAGCAGACACCCGGGTTGTTTGTGAATATAAAACATTTTTACGACTTAAAGTCCATTTTGGCACATCTTAAAGGTAAATATGAAGTTAATATTTCCCCCCTTCTGTTTGAGATAAAGCGCTGTGTGCGCGCGATGTCTATAGTCAGTGGCGGGTGGTTTGCTTTAAAAATAGTTTTGTGAAGACTTTCCCAGCGGAACTACGGTACTCCTGTTTGGATGTTGGGATATCTGACTCGTTCACAGAAGGCATTTTTAAAAGCAGGTGTCTTGTTTTTTGTCGATACTTAGTAATGCTGTGTTTACAGGACCGTCATGGAGCACAAGTCAAACTGCAGCAGGTGAGAACTTCTGTCACGATAGGTGGCACCACGTGTTCACCCTTTTCCTTCTCCGGTCCTATTAAACCCAATCTGGAGTTTATGGAGCACTGGGTGTGACAGGAGGAGATCCTGTCGACCTTTCCCCTTGTAAGGACGAACAGTTACAGAGAGGATATACAACTTCTGACTGGCTATAACAAAAAGGGCTTTTGATTGTATTAAAATCACACTTTCTTCCCATGGGTGCTGAGTTTTAACCCAGTAAGTATGAAAGTAAAGTAAACTAGAGAAACTGCATATTTCTGCGAAAATGCAGTGTGAATGTTTATTGCAGAAGAACTTGCTGAAAAACATCTGAAATGAGCTAAACAAAATGCTGAATTTTAAGAACAAGTCCAAATTAGCAGAAGAAAGCAGAAAGAACACATATTTGCTGAATTGTTTTTAACAAAGCTAAAATAAGCACAGAAATTATTAAATTAGCGTTAAAAAGCTTAAATTAGAGAGGGGGGGGGGGGGGGGGTGAGTAGCTGAAAAGGCAGAAGGAAGTGGAAAGAACTGAAATGAGCTTAAAAAAGTGGAATTAGCTGAAAAAGCTAAAAAAGATATAGCATAAACAGCTAAATAGTAGCTGGAATAACTGACACGAGCAGAAATAAGCTGAAAAGAGCACAACAAGCTGACATTAGTAGAAAGAATTGAATTGGGCTGAAAATAGCATTAGTTGCCACCAAAACGTTATATTTATCTGAAAAGAGCTGAAAAGGTAGATGAAATGTAGAACAAGCCTAAATTAGCAGAAGAAAGAACATGTTTTCCCAATTAGGCAGAGAGAAGAAGAAATGAGCCCCAAAAAAGTGCAGATTACCTGAAAAAAGCTGAAATGATCAAAAACCAGCTGAAAAGTAGCTTAAAAAGCAGAGAGAAGCTTAATTTATCAGAAGGAAGTGAAGAGATCATATTTTTGCTGAAATAGGCTGAAAAAAGTTGAATGAATGCAAAAAAATGTGAAATTAACTGAAAAAGCTAAAATTAGCATAAAACAGCTAAATAGTATCTGAAATAGCAGAAAAAGCTGAAACTTGCAGAAATAAGGCGAAAAGGGAATAATTAGCTGAAATTAGCAGATAGAAATTAGAAGAACCACAAAAAGATTGTAGTTAGCAGAAAGCTGAAAGGATAACAAAACAGCTGAAAAAACAGCTGGAATTAGCTGAAAGTAACTGAAAAAAAAGTTAAAATTTGCACAAGGAAACTGAAAAAAGCTGAAGCAGAACAACAAGGGGAAAGGAGCAGACAAAGGTTGTAAACAGATCTAAAGATTTGAAGGATGTAAAATGAGCTCAATTAATTTTATATGAGAGCAAAAATGGCCGAAAAGGCTAAATATTTCAAAAAGCTAAAGTTGCACCAATACCAAAGTCATAGCACCCTTCTCCTGAATGAGCTGAACGTTTTAATTTATGATTTGTTGAACTAGCACAAAAATTTTGGAACGTTTGCCAAAAAAATGTACAGAAGAAAAATGGATCATAATAGTGTGAATGCTTCATAAACATTCACACAAATAAATCGGTTGCCTTCTATGTCACATGTTCAAATCTGAATAATTTAATGTCTGGGCGACTAAAGATTTAAGTGACAAAGTGTGTTCTTTTTTTATTTCATAGGTGCCACCCATCTAAATTTAAGGTCTCTACGTTTCTGACAGATTGGTTGTTTGGATGAATAATGTGGAGGAACATATTAAAATTAAAACCGATGTATTTTTGCAATCTCTCCTCCAATTTTAGCCTGGTTCATGTCCGCAACCCACATCTGGATACCCTGAAAGAGGACTTCCTGTACCACTTCAGTCTGGGAACTGGAACACATAACCTGCCAGAGATGTTTGGGGACGTCAAAGTAATAACTTTTTATAATATTATTTTGTTAGGAAGTTATAAAAATGGCTACTGTTAATCAGTGTAGCAGACTTTAGGTTAAAATGTGGTGTGTCAGTAGCTGAGAGTCATTGCCAGCACATAATTTGAGCACAATAACAACATAACAAATGAGCTTAAAACTCTGGCAATACCTGTTTAAGTCAGTCCTGTCTGTGAGCAAATCTTTGAATGAACCACTAGACAGATTTTCTTTAAAGTAACCACAGAGTATTTTCAACTGATGAACATTTGGAGCTCTATTTCAGATGGCTGCCACAGAAAATCAACTTTAGCCAACAGAAACTGGGTTAAAACTTAGTAAAATTATATCATTTTCAAAGTTTGACATGTTTCTGTGTGTGCTCTTCAGTTTGTGTGCGTTGGGGGCAGCCCTTGGAGAATGAAGTCATTCATTCAGTACGTCGCTGCTGAGCTCGCTTTGGAAGACCCCAGTTTAGATTATCCAAATATCTGTGCTGGAACGGATCGTTACGCCATGTACAAAGTTGGCCCTGTGCTCTCTGTTAGTGTACGTAAGAACCAATTTTCAGCTTTTCCTCACATGTCTCCATCCTGTGTCTCTTGTGATTTAATACTAACTTGTGTGGTGTGTCTCTGCTTGACGTTACAGCATGGGATGGGCATCCCGTCGATTGCCATAATGTTGCATGAGCTCATAAAACTCCTCCATTACTCACATTGCACGGATGTTACAATAATACGCATTGGAACATCAGGGGGAATAGGTACAGTCATTTATTTAGGTACCTGTTTATCTTACTGTATAAATGGGGTGGCTGTGGCTGAGTGGCTAATGCAAGAGTTGGGGGTTTGATTCCACCAGCAGTCACAGGCCGAAGTGTCCCTGGACAAGACATTGAACCCCTCATTGCCTCCGATGTGTACCCCATCAGTGTATGAATGTGATAAAGCTCTGATTATTCTTTGTCTAGATCTAGTAGAGTGCTGTATGAATGGGTAAATGAGGGCACAGATTGTAGTGTAAAGAGCTTTGAGTATCTTGATAAGATAGAAAGGCGCTATATAAGTACAGTCCATTTACCATCACTTACAGTGGCAAGAAAAAAGTGAACAAGGAGAATGGCAAGATACTGTCTGTAAAGAATGAATAAGTGATCGAGGAGAAAGTCATATGTTTGGAATTCGTATGAGAGCGTGGCCTAGTTTTACAAAACCACCAAATGTCTGGATTAATGTTGTGTTAATAGTTGAAACAGATCAAAGCAGTCCCCACAAACTGGGTACTGTTTATCAAAGAAAATGTTAATCCCAACTACAAAAGCCGATCTAAAAACAGAATGTCTGTTAAAATGATGCAATAACTCAGTTATAGAAGTCCAGACCTCAATTTGAATAAAATGTTGCAACTGTTGCAGAGCTGTTCCCACAAAGGTCAACAAACACTGCACCATTGTAAAGAAGAGTGGGCCACAGCCACGTGAAAGGCTGATGAGGACATATAAAGGAAAACACTTTGGGTTATTGCTGCTAAGGGTGGTTTTAACAGACTGCTTAGTTTTTCACATAATGCAGCTGTGTTTATCACTAGATCAAACGAGCAGGAAAAGGAGGCAGCAGAACAGCTCCAGACCAAAGTCTGCCTTCAGTACAAGGCCTTCACCAGTTACTGGCGTTATTAAGCCTTTAGCAGCTTCATTTTATCATAATCCACACACAGTTTAAAGTATTCTTATTAAAAATAACCTGTGTAATTTTGTAGCAAGCTTTTCTCATTTCCCTACTAAAACTGTGCTTTCCTGACATACAACTGACTTTCTTATTCCAACACTATAAAAATAAAGATGTATTTCATGTTCAGGAATGAGTTTCTCTCACTCACCATTCTTGTCATTCAGGACTTGAGCCCGGCACGGTTGTTGTTACCAAACAGTCGGTGGATGCCACCTTCCAGCCCAGGTTTGAGCAGGTGACTCTGGGGAAGACAGTGGTGCGCAACACCGATCTTGACCCGAGCCTGGCCGAGGAGCTGCTGCAGTGCAGCAAAGAGCTTGGCCAGTTTGAGACGGTCATCGGTAACACCATGTGCACACTGGATTTTTATGAAGGTATGGGATCTGGTGCTCAAACGGGTCAATTTTGAGAGTGTTTCAGTCCCTTCATGTTGTTTCTGTTCTAAAAACAACTCAGGTCAAGCCCGTTTGGACGGTGCTTTCTGCTCCTACACTGAGGAGGATAAACACGCCTACCTCACTAAAGCTAGAGAAGCAGGAGTCTACAACATAGAAATGGAGTCTTCGGTTTTCGCAGCCATGTGCAACCTGAGTGGTCTGCGAGGTGAGAAAACACAATAAAGTAGTCCCTCATTTATCGCGGGGGTTCCCTGGGGGTGGACTGGCCATCAGGAGCACCGGGACATTTCCCGGTGGCCTGGCCCGCTCAGTGTTCGCTAATGGGGACTAAAGCCTCAGTTCGGGTCGCGCTTGATTATTTTAAATAAACAATTCATGCCGCTCGTTCGGCTCACTCAGGTATAAGACAGAACACCCGCCCCTACTTTCTTTTTCTGAGGCTGTTTGTCACAACAGGTTGCGCGCCCGCCTGTTGTGTGTCTCTGCTCTGCTGTGACAGACAGCCTCAGACAGAGAAAGGAGGGGGCAGGGCCTGTCTTTCCTCATAGCCAATCATGTGTCGTTACAATCTTATGTTGAAAATCCGCGAAAGAGCGAGTCCGCGAAAGTCGAACTGCAAAGTATCGAGGGACTACTGTACAAGCATCTGATAATAGCTAGCATTTGTAGACACAATTTTCCTTTGGCGCTGTTGTGTATTAATCATTCTCGTGTTTTTGTGTGAAGCGGCCGTCGTTTGCGTGACATTACTGGATCGACTGAAGGGAGATCAGCTGAGCAGCTCTCACGAAGTTCTTCACAATTACCAACTACGTCCTCAGATGCTAGTGGGTTACTACATCAAGAAGCAGTTAAAGGTCAAATCAGAACACGCAGCTAAATGATGTAAGCAAACATTCCCAGGTTATCCTCGGGGAAAGATGAGCACTGAAAACATTGTCAGCTTTAAGCTGTTTTTATAGAAATGTCGTCATTTGTACTTTTAAAGACGCACTGTTTTCACATTTAACAGTTTTTAGAGTGCACCTTGTATTTATGAATTCATGCTAGCGTACAGTAGTTGATTTATTAAGTAAACAACATGCACTTTTTATGTTTAAATCTAATTTAATTGAGCATTAATTGTACATTAGAAGCCCAAGCTTGACAAAGGTATTGGATTTAAATTGTTATATTTAACTTTTAAAGTTTGTGATCCTTAAAACTTGAATTTTACATGTTAACAGAATTTAAACAGTATGGCATAAAGCGACAGTTCAGATCTTTTCACAGATTATTATTTTTTGCCGGGGGGGGGGGGGGGGGGGGGGGGGGGGAGACTAATTGACTTTGGTCTTCAGTGGCTTGTCAGTTCTGTCAGAAAATAAAAGTCAGTTTTTGTTAAAGTATTATCTACAACAGGTAAGATAGTTAATGTTTATTATCTTCCTCAAAACCCAACTTATAAAGGTCTGAACTGTCCCTTTAACTGTCTAAATTCACTTCATGTCAAGAGAATGACTCTGACTTTGAGTTCCGTGTCATGATGATGATTGTTGCTTCACTAAAACAAACTTGAGATGTCTGAATTATTGTTCAGGATTTATATTTTTAAGGTTGTGGCGATGAGTTTTTAATTAAGAATTGAAAGCAGCAGATAACAGTTCTGACCTTGAAACCAAACTGCACTGTATGAAATATATCTGATGAAAATAAATCAATCCTCACATACTCTGTGGGTTATTTGATTCATTCTTGCTCGTTTGTGACACGCTTTTACAACCAACAGTAATTCTCCTTTCATAAAGCATCTTATGTATTCTTTGACCCATGGGTTCATTGCGTTTATACTCTTTGATGTTTTTGCTGCCATGTCCAACATTATCCAGATGTTAGAAATGAATTATACAATACAATACAACTTTATTTATAAAGCACTTTAAAAACAACGCCGTTGGCCAAAGTGCTGTACAATGATAACGCATAAAAGCAAGCCTCAAAACTATCAAATCAATTGAAACAGTAAAAGTAATGAACTGTTAAAATCATAAAAACAGAAAACAGTACAAACAATAAAAATAAATACATTAAAAACAACATTTCAGGTTGAGTTAAAAGCCAAAGAGAGAGAGAAAAAAGTGTTTTCAGAGATTTGAAAACACGAAATGAGTCAGCTTGTCTGATGTGCAAACGCAGCACATTCCACAGTTTGGAGGCAGCGACTGAAAACGCTCAGTCACCTCAGTCTTCTCTTTGATTTTGGAACGACCAACAGAAAGTGATCTGCTGACCTGAGAGAGCGTGAGGGAACGTACAGCAGGTCAGACAGGTTCTATGGGCCGAGACCATAAAGATATTTTAAAACAAATGAAAGAATCTTAAAATTAATCCAGAAACGAACTGGGAGCCAATGTAGTGATTCTAAAATGGGTGATGTGCTCTCACTTTTTGGTACCAGTTAAAAGGCGAGCAGCAGCATTCTGAACCGGCTGAAGTCGAGTCAATAATGCATTCATTATTGCCGCTCAGCACAACAAAGTGCATTACAGTAGTCTCAAAGAGTTGTAATAAAAGCATGGATTAAAATCTTAAAATTATGCTCTGAGAGAAATGGTTTGACCATGGCCAGTTGTCTCAAGTGATAAAAGCTGGACTTGATCTTTGGGAACAATTGTTGTTTTAAATGTGCTTTATAAATGAATGACTTGACAGATTTAATCTGTGCATCAAGTTTAAAATCAATGTCCAGCCTCACACCCAGGTTAGTTGCAGTCTGAGTCAGATGTGTTAAAGGACACACATCAGCATGAACTTTGGAACAATGTAAAAAAAAAATGGTAACATTCTGTGACTTCTGCAATGCATTCCAGGAGTTGGTTCACGGAGTATTGTTTTTCTTGTTTTAATAGAACATAAATTTGGCTGTCATCAGCATAGTAATGAAAGTGACACCTTGTTTCCGGAGAGTATCCCAGACGGCGTAAATAAAGGGAAAAATGAAGACGGCCGAGTATAGATCCCTGAGGTACTCTACATGTGAGAATAAAGAATGTCCTTTGAATTAGTCCAATGATTGTGTGTATGTATCAGTTACAGGTATGTATATTATTATCCACCACTGAAAGGCAGATATGGGTGATGTTTTTACCCCTGCATGTCGGTGTATTCATATATTTATCTCAAGAATGACAAGTTTTAATGAACATGCACAAAGTAATCATTGGATGTACTTCTAGATTAACTTTGGAGTCCATCTGTTTCAAGATGGCTGCCAAGGGCCCACTGACCTTAAAATACAGAAGAAAGACTTAACTGTCAAATTCACAAAAAATGTACCTAAAGTTTGGTGTGGTAGTATCTGAGACTGATCCCTAAGCTCTGATCTGTGTGCTAACAGATTGAACAAGATCTTTTTTTAAAACCTTGCAATTGACTGATCTGTTAGCGATATCTCATGAACTGGTTGCATTTTAATGAAACTCAGGAAATAATTAACTGATTAATTTTGGGATCTAATCCAATTCAAGATGGCCACCACAGCCAACTGACGTAAAGGATACAAATAAATTAAATTTACAGATGTTGTAAAATTCAAAGTGGACATATAGCTGAAGGTCATTTGTATAAATAATATACATTGTGACACTTTTCCAACAAACTTAAATGTTACAATCCACCCAATCTGTTAGTAAAACATCTTTTGAACCACTGGGTTTAGTTAAATGAAACTTTCAAAAAGTAATAATTTGCTGCACATATTCAAGATGGCTGCCACAGCTAATTAACATAATTAGTCCAACAAAAAAAAATGGCCAAAACTTCCAATTTTCAAAATAACATGATTAAAATATTTGGCATGAAACGTGGCGGGCGACATGCACTCCTCGTTCCTTGAACCTTGCGTGGGGGGCGATCTTTTCCCAGCAGAGTGGCAGGTTGCAGCTGACCCGAGGATGCTGCCCTGCTGCGCGTTTCCTGCTCTGCGCATGCGCGTCAGAGACTGGTCTGCCTACGCGCTCCCGTGCGCGCTCCCTTCTGTCTGCCATCCGGTCGGAGCTCAGGTCTGTTCGCTGACTCAGTGCCTAAAGCAGCATCACCGCTCATCCGGACAGAACCACAGCATCCTCTGCGGAGAAAGCCCATCAGCCATGGCTAAAACAGCGACCGGTAAGAACCGTGACGGCCAGGATGGATGGCAGGATGGATGTTTGGTTGGATGAATGGACCTGTCGGCCCGGTGTAGTTTACGTTCTTGTGGCGATTCTTCTCTTCTCGTTCCAGCTAATTAAAACAGAACACTAACCTTACCGGCTTTTATTTCAGCAGATTTGTAGCTTATTTGGATGAGCAGAGGCGTGTAAATCAAATTTAAAAAAAGGGGCCACGAGTTCAGCATCTTCCATCGACATCTTTTAAAATGTCTCCTTAATGACTCTTATTTGCGGTTTAAAGCCTTTCACTGTGTAACAGGTACGTGTATAGTGCGGATAAGCATGTTTTTTTATTCATAGCTTCATCATCCACCTGCGGTTGGTGCTCCAGCGGCCCCCAGCAGCATAATGCAGACGGACCCCACCCAAGATGCTGGGCTGCTCACAGAAAACCTGACAGCTCTTTATCCTTCTGACGCATGCGTTATTTAGTTTCAGTTAAACCCTTGAAGGGTTTATTTAATCTGGTTTATCCATTAAAACAAGATTTTTTTTATTCTAGTCCGCAGCTCCAGCTTGTGTTGCAATAAAAAAAAAAAAAAAAAAAATCAACACATGATCAGCTCAAAACTGAAGGAATCTTAATGCAGTTAGCAGGCCAGCTATTTAGCTATTAGTTTTTGTGGGTGTACATGCCTTTAAAGCATTGCCTTTTTATTTTAAACCACTATATTAGGTGGATTTATCAGCTTGGTGTGCTGATTGACTTCTTTTTGTGCTGTGAGAGGTGGGACATGTGTATGGCAGGGAGCATGGAGGCAGGCCAGCCCTGCAGCAAGGGGCCTTTTTCACACTTTCCAACAGAAGGCTCTGGCAATCTGCAGTCCTCTCTGAGGAGCCAGGTGGTCAAACATCTGAAGGACGTGACGAAGAACTTTGCAGGCAAGATTTCAGTCAGGGACGGGCTTGAAAACAAAATAACGTCCAAATCTTTTCTCTCTTTGTTTCCGTTTGCCATGACAGCACAGCAGAGACAGATAAAACATATGTAGGGTGTGTCTTACTTACAGTCAGTGGGTTTTGTCTCTTAAGTTTAGTCTCATTTCAGTACGTTTTGTTAAATTGCAAGACTAAATCGGGAAATGGATGAACCTTATACAGCTCCTTCATTATACATTAACAATAACTGATGAAGCAACACCAGATACTTTTATTGCAGACTTGAAATGGATCATGGAAATTAAAAAAAAGAAAAATCAGACTATAGTTTATTGCGAGTATCCAAAGTGCATTTAACAATTTTTATACAGTATGTTAATGTACGACGCTGAAGGCAAAAATATTTTTGCCTGTGTGTCATTTTTACCACTTGACTAATAACTGAATGTACTGTACATCTACAACTTATATTAACCTTTTGAGTGATGCCAAATTAAGATGGCCGCCACAGCTGAGCAACCTTAGCAAACAAAAAAACTAACTCAAGTCAACTGTCAAGACACTGAGCTAAAATTTGATGTGGTGATGGCTGAGAGTCATCCCCAACTTGAAGATCTGAATGATTGCATGAGATCAACAACAAAAAAGGTTCAATCATTTCATGATCTCATTGCATGAGATCTTTTCTTAAAACGTTGTTATCACCTAATTAAGTCAGTACTGTCTGTTAGCAAAATGCACCACTGGCATAGGCGTCACAACAATTATATATGTGAAGGGGATGTGTCCCTCCCACATTTAAAAAATATTCATTTGAACCCCCCCCACGTTTACCATGAAATATTAGTTCACCCAGCGCTCTTTCTATTTCTTCATGAACAAATCCATTCCACTTGATTAATAGGAGAATACTCAAAACACTAAAAATCCACTCCTGGTTTTCCTGGTTACCTACAACAACTCTTCACCGCATGCAGTGTTTCCCTTCGGTCATCTGCCTTGACAGGGCGCTCAGGGGGGGAGGAGGGGGAGAAACCTCTGATCTGCGCACTAGCTTAGTGTCACGTTAGCGCTGGCAGTTTTCGACGGGGGTGTTGTCGTGTCAGGATGCGTGAGAGAAGTGAAGTGTGCTCTATTCACACAAGGAGAGCTGTTGGTCAGGCTACTTTTTGTGCCATGCTCTGTAAAATAGTTACTGAATCAAGTGTTTACTTACAGTATGTAGGTAAACATAGATGTTTAACAACCCGTTAAAATACACCAGAATGCAGGAAATGACATCTACTTTATTCAAAACTTTCTGGGGAAGGACTCCCACCTCACACACACACACACACCAGTGTGCCCCCCTCACATGACAAATGCTTCTGACACCAATGACCACCGGACAGATTTGAATGAAAGTCTCACTGGATGCACATCTTCAACTGATCAATATTTGGAGTCAACTCGATTCAAGATGGCTATCACAGCTAATCAATTTAACACATAAACGACTGTAACTCGGTCAAATGTGCAGATACCGAGCTAACGTTTGACGAGTGATCGTCAACATCACCCACCCCATCTCGTCATACGATGATCTCGGTTTCCTCGAGGAATGCTCGACCTTTAGTTTGGTGAAGTAGAGATCTTAGTTGGGTATTATTTTGCCAGATTTTTGTTTTCAAAAGTAAGACAGGATGTTCATCTCATCCAAACGTGTCACAAAGAGTGGTGCTGATGTGTCTTTATGTGCCAACAGCATACAAAGAGAAGATGAAGGAGTTGTCCGTCCTCTCCCTCATCTGCTCCTGCTTCTACCCGGAGGCTCGCAAGAAACTTGTCTGCAAATTTGAAGGTATGCATTGATTTTCTTTGCGTTAAAACAAATTGTCCCCTATGAATGTTTCCTTTGCTCTGTAAATAGCGGCATTAATATTTATTAACCTGATACGTTAATGGACATATTGATTTTTGTTGGCGTTGTCATGGTAACTACCTGATTTACAGACTTGGAGGTGAAGCCTATAGACAAGCGAGCTTCAGGACAGGCCTTTGAGGTGATTCTCAAGCCGTTGTCTCCGGTGTCGGATGTAGCCCACAGCCTCCTCTCACCCCCAAAAAGGGATATCTCTTTGGAGGATATTGAGAAGAAACTGGAGGCTGCTGAAGAGAGGAGAAAGGTATTTGCCTTTGTATCAAAATGGCTTTCCGTGTTTAAAATGGAAACTAATTAAATCAACTGAACTGATTGATTTTTGTTGCTTGCTTAGTACCAAGAGGCGCAGGTGCTGAAGGTTTTGGCGGAAAAGCGAGAGCATGAGAGGGATGTGTTGCTAAAAGCCATGGAGGAGAACAGCAACTTCAGCAAGATGGCAGAGGAGAAGCTCCAGATAAAGATGGAGCAGATTAAGGAGAACCGTGAAGCCCACCTGGCAGCCATGATGGAGCGCCTGCAGGAGAAGGTGAGCACTATGGAAGCATCTATCAGTGATAAAACTGCACAGCCAACTGTCCTGACATTTAATCATCCGCAATGTGTGTGGGGGGTTTATTTGTTTCTTTCAGGAGAGGCATGCCAACGAAGTGCGCAAGAACAAAGAGCTGAGGGAAGTGTTGCTAGCATGAGCCTCACACAAATCCTGACTTCTGTCCGTCCATCTATCCTCGACCTGCCCTCAACCCCTCCAAAAAAGACAGTTGACCCTGAAGGTTGAGAGGCTCAAGGATCTCACCTTTTCATCACTGCACATTTTATCACAACAAAGTGCTCACAGCTATCAGTAGTAGTGATACAAACATCGATAACACCCTTTTGTTGTTGATTTAGAGATCTTAAGCACATGCTTTTATTTTGAAATTAATTTATCTATCTATCTATCTATCTATCTATCTATCTATCTATCTATCTATCTATCTATCTATCTATCTATCTATCTATCTGTCTGTCTGTCTGTCTGTCTGTCTGTCTGTCTGTCTGTCTGTCTGTCTGTCTGTCTGTCTGTCTGTCTGTCTGTCTGTCTGTCTGTCTGTCTGTCTGTCTGTCTGTCTGTCTATCTATCTATCTATAGATAGATAGATAGATAGATAGATAGATAGATAGATAGATAGAT